AATAAATAAATAAATAAATAAATAAATAAATAGAAGCACTTTCCCGTTTATTTCTAAAAAAGGTTTAAAAATTTTATTTATATGGAAAAATAATATTGATCATTTTGCTGTTCTACAATTCTCTGATGCGGTGCTGTACAGTCATTTATAAATCTCTTGCTAACATTTTATTGGCAATATGTATTTCTACCATTGTAACCACCATTGTGCAATTGTATCTCTTCACTTCTGTGAAAGTAATATTTTTTATAAAATACACTGAAGTTTAACCTCAGTAATTATTATGGGTCAATTTTCAAGTGTGGTCAAGAAGGTATCTTCTTGGCTTACCCCTTTACATACAATTATAAGCTAAAAAGAAAATCAAACCACATCCCTTACCAGAGCCTTTATTCTACTCCAAGTTCACTGGACCACTGACATGAATGCTAAACAGATTCAGTACAGAAGAGTTACTCTGCCCACTCCATTAAAAGCATCCCTTAGAGTGGCTTGCAGCTGAGTCACAAAAATTGGATTTGAGCTGACTATACTCATTTATTATACAACCAAATTATGTTTTTCATAATTAAATATATTAGTGTTTTAACTTTTACTTTATATGCAACTTGCAATAATGTAATTCTTTGTGTCAGGCCTCTAAAAGTATATACAAAAGCTCATCTAAAAGCACATACAAAAGCTCATCTAAAAGAAAATTTCTGTAATGTTATCTAGATTTACATTATAAACTCTGGAGAGTCATTGGCAAGATTTATGCAAAAGAAAATGATGGGAAGACTTGGGAGTTGTCTGTATGGTCTAAATGTGCAAACAACCAATTCAGAAAATATGACAGGAGGGCAACCCCTTGTTACCCGGATTCACTGTGTGCACAGAAATACTGTAGTCAAAAAAGAAAGCTTTAATAATATTTTATGTTAATAACTCCCAAAACACATAATCAATATAATATCAAACACGTCATTGAGTCTGGATGTACTTTCCATATATTAAAGATACTTACCCAAGGAAGTTTTACAGAAACTAGTATGGGTTGGTTTTATAATTTAAGAAGTATATTCTATAATAAATACTATATAACAAATTGTTGTAAATGTTTAGTTTCACACATACAGAATATTGTAATTTCCTTTGTAAAGGATATAACAATTCAGATAAAGTATTGTGTAAAGAAGTGCTAATACTTAAGAGTAATTCATTTCAAATGTCTCAAATAGCTGTCAAAATTGTACAACTGAATAACCCAATATTGAAATTGTTAAAGTTTAACAAAGATTTTTTTCCTGCTGGGTCCTCTTGCAATGTTGTCTTCTCGTTGAAAACATGTAAGTTCTCCTCTGCTTTGGAGAGTTAGAAAATTTGGGGGGTTTACTTGTCCTTGTACATGCACCACAAAAATAATCAGCCAATATCAAGAGTTTGTATGAAGAAAGTAACTCAACTTTAGAAATGAATGAATTTTTAAGTAGCTAGCCTCTACTGAATAGCTGGGACTTCACTGCTTGTTTTTTTGTTTTTTGGGTTTTTGTTTTGTTTTGTTTTTTAATGATGTAATATGGTATCATGTATATTCAAAACCTGGACTATCACAGCTTTATTGTGAGGTGTGCAGCCTGTAAAGCACTTTATTGTTTTCTGTGTGAGGTTTCATCACCATCTCCAGTTTATAGTGTATGTGCTGCTGAAGCAAGCACAGGTTTTATTACTGTCACTAGAAGTGGGGTAACATGAGTTTAAAAATGTGATTTGCATTAAACATTTACAATTTAAAAGCATCTTTCTTAATAAATTATCAGTTTTGTGCCTGAAATAAAAAAGAATTTACTCTAATCACTTTTTTTAATCTCAATCAAATAAAATAAATATTGTGAGAGAAATAATCATTATTTTTTAAATCATCCATATAATCTAATCAGTAGAGAAATCCAAACTCAGAAGTCTTAATCTCAAGTGAATTATGTAATTGCTTTTTTCTGAATTAGCCAGATCATTAACAAACTTTTATGTCATTCAACTAATATAGTAATAGTCTGATTGTGTTTATGTGACATTTGTATTTGTGGCACTTAAATCACAATACGTACTTGCACACATACTTATATCTATGAGCTCAGAAATATGGTATTGCAGTGCATTGCTGATATGTAGAGATAAAAGAGAAAATAATGACAGATGCCTATATGCAATATTACATGTGATTAAATAAGATTTACCATAAACTCAGAATCTCTGGTTCCTATCACCATACTCAGAGTAATTTCATCTTTATAATCCACACTATTCTCTCAGATTAAATATTATCTTCAGAAAATTGATTCTTATTCCTAAGAAGAAAACAATCTTTATAGCTTAAAATCACTACCAAACTTACAAGTACATATTTTTCAAACAGAAGAATAATTTTAGGATGCAATTATATAAAATTGTACTTACATTCATCTAAAAACAAAACCAGTTATTTTATTCTACTAAGGTAAGCTTTACAAATAATAATCTTCTAATTTTATCCTCCTTAAAGTAAAGATTTTAAAAAAATGATCTGGTCTTAGCATTCAGGATTATCAATTTATTTCTTGCAAATGCTAAATTTGAATACGATTGATAGAAAAATTAAAAATATTCCTTCAAGTTACAGCAAATATGAAAAATACAGACACTGAAGTTTCTAAAAACCAAGCTTTCCAGATGTAAGAATAATTTTGAAAACAAAATTTAAAATGGCATCTTGCTGACTTGATGAGGTAGGTATGATTATAGCCTTTACTAAAGATACAACTTGAGTTCCTGTGACATAAAAGAATGTGCATCTGCAGGCAAAGCACACTTTGCCTTCTCCATCATCACATGATACATGGACCATGAGAAGTACTATAAAATGGTCTACCTTGCACTATAGGCAGAGAGCATTAATTAAAATTTAGATGTTATAAAATGATACAAAGACTTAATCTCTCATTACTCATAGCTAGAAATAGTCATTTCTAGAAAGGCTCAGAGGCACTATCATTCAGTTCGGTAGGCTGTATCCATACTGAAATCAAGAGCATAGAATGGTTTCTGGTTCTAAAATTAAATGAACTCAGCATAAATCTCTTAGCTAATAATCTGACATTATCAGTGACTCTTCAGAGAAGGTCTGGAGCTTAATAAAATGTGTTCCGTTGAATTGTTGAACTCGTACTAAAAATACAGTGAAAACATTAGCTTATGGAAGAAAAACCAACTTCATTAAAATCTTTTATTTTTCTGTGAAATACTGAATTCAATCCCTTGAATTAAAAAACTGCTCGACTGTTTAACCAATCAGAAAGAAATTCTCCCCAGTTCACTTTACCAAGCTGATGTCTCTGACTCACATGTTAAAATTATGTTATACAGTTTATCCCTTTTGGATGATGCTATTCTGTCAGGCTTAGAGAAATGTTAATCCTATTTGGAGTCTGCCTTGTCTCCCAAATGTCAAACTAGTTGGCAGAAAACTTATCCCCTTTGAAGCTCGGTTTATCGCTGGCCAAATAAGTCTTACAAGTATAATTATTATTAAACATTATTTGAAAATAATATAAATGGGCATAAAGTTTTACCTTGTCAAGAGTTCCTATTACCTTCCATAAAGATAACCACCTTAAAATATTATTCCTAATTAGAGCTATGAAGCAATATAGTGACCCTGGAAAGATGCTCAGGAATATCTTAGTGCTGTAAGAAATCTGCTATTAAACCATACACGCATACAGCTTGGAACCAAGCTGCATCCCTATCAAAGCTATACAGTCTTCCCAGAAGAGCCTGCACCCATTTTTAAAAACTAACTAAAATATTGCCATAATAAATCATTCCCTACCCCAATTTAGACTTAGAAATATCACATATCAGCAGACATTTACAAATAAATATTATATGACAAAGGTCATGAAAATAGAGCAAGAAATGAGCTGACTAAAAGAGGCATTAGCCATTTTAAATTTAAGCATGCTATAAAAACTTACCATACTGCTAAAGTTGATAATACGTACCCAACCAGCTCTCTGTCTAAACCGTTCTTGACTTCACATGAATTTATATGTTACCAATGTGTAGCTTATGGGCTTTCCATTAGATAATACTGCATTATTAATTTGTTTATTTGAAAAATAATGCCTGAGCAAAACAAATGCCAATTTCTAGATCAACAGATAAATAAAATCTTCATGTGCTTACACTGTAGTGAGAACAGGCTGCAACAAAAATATTAATGAAGAATAAGTTCTGATTATACTAACTGATGTGAAGGAAAAAAGTCTATATCATAAAGAGTGACTGGGTGTTTGCTAGGGGTCAGGTAGGGTAGGAGGCGATGTTAAGAGGGAATGAATAATCAAGGGAAGTCTCCCAAGATCTTGCAATGGTAAATTCAGTCAAGAAACAAATTATCACCATCTGATCCACATAAAAAAAAATTGTCCTCTTCCTTCCTGTTTCTAGAAATTCATGTATCAAATAGTTCTTAATATTCTATTGCAGAAGTTTTGTGTTGTTGTTTTTTAACTCAGAGCACAAGAATATACTTCTGGGGATGGCTGAACCCTGAAAACA